CACTAAAGTAATGTTTCATGAATTGTGTCAAAAGAAAATTGTGAGCATTAGGTTTCAAAAAAAGGAAGAAGAGGCATTGCCAGGTTTTGATGAGAAGACATGGAACTTTCTGAACAAATATTTCCTACATTTCTGACCTTATTTCCCCCTTCCCTCTATGGCACCCAAACTAAAAATCACTGATTACACCTTGAACCTAAAATTACTGTCAGTAGCATTCTTGAAAAGAAAGAAATTTAGCAGTACTTGCATTGTACTGTGCTGATCTCTCAAAATAGCTTTCAAGTGTATTTATCTAAATCAATTACTTTGACACCATTTTTTTGATACCTGCCCAACATTCAGGGTTTGTGCTAAGTCTGAGCTGCTTAAAATCTTTCCCTGAAAGAGAGATTGCAGACAGGAGTTTGAACACATATAAACTGAGATACAAAATAAAAATCAAATTCAAATGAATCATTATTTTCAGTTTCCAGACTCAAGACTATTAAATCATTTAGCTGTAATGGAAAAGCAGTTGCCAAGGGTGGGCTCTTAAATCAAAAATTCATCATAGATAATGTTAAAGAAATGTTTTGGCCAAAATAATTTATCTAAATTCAGCAACCTTAGAAAGATCTCAACTGGCAACAAAACACTTATTGCATTTCAGAAGAAACTAATGACGTCTTCCAGTTATTGCGACAGTTCACCTTGAACTTTACATGAAAATAATATTCTTACCTTAACATGACTAACTGACTCAAAAACAAACACTTACAAAAGTCTGTACAAACTTAAAAACAATCCAAAAATATTAATAATCCATTGAACTAGATAACTAAAGAAATACTCAGAGAAACTTAAGAAAAGCAGCATATTACCTGTTCATTCCAAACATGTTTAAGAACTGAAAGAGTATTCTCCTTCCAGCATAAAGATGATTTCAATTCTGCAATTAGTTTCTCAGAAGGTAACTTGGCCTTAGCAGCAGACCTGTTGAAAAATAGTAACAGATTAAATCTTACCTGCAATATACAGTGGTAGATTATGGGGAACTCAAGTACCTAAAGGTTGACAAGTCCTCGTTCAAGCCCTGAATGGGTCACTGTCTTGTGTTCTTGGGCAAGACTCAACTTTCATAATGCCTCTTTCCATCCAGGAGATACACAAATACCAGCAAACTATCAGGGAAGCCTGATGAAATCCTGGGGTTTAACATGCAATAGACTGGTATCCTATCCAGGGAGGAGGGGTAACACTCCTAGCTACTTCATGCAGTGGAAACTGCGATGAGCTTTGATTAAATAGACCACCTGGCTTAAGTGCAGAATAATATTTTACTTACAGCTAGAACATTTTAGAAAGTGTGCTAACATTAGAAATAAGCATTTACCTGAATACATAGCTAATGGCATTGAGTAACAGCTTGGCATCATATGATATTCCAGCATCCTTAAGACACTTCAAGAAGAAAATCCATAACAGGTACAAGTAAATTTTTTGGACATTGATCACTCTTTTTTAAATAAAAAAAAAACAACATTGCTGTGATAAGGTGAAAATCAACAAAACTAAAATTCCTTTGGAGGCCCTGAAAATTTGTCATCAGTGGAAAAAAAATAAATGACATATCCTCAAAGAATGATAACAAAAAAAACAAAACAAAAAGAAGTGGTTCAGTTCAACCATTAGTAAGAATTGTGTGCTGTTAATTCAGGATCCTAAGCAAGATCTTGTTGCACATGCATGTTTCCATTTATGTAACCTTTCATTACAATAAGAGCCTGTCCTTGCGAAAGAGAATTACCCATAGTGCTTGTGTCCCTATTGAGGACATAAGGGCATTCTGCTGAGAAAGACTGAGAAAGAAAGATGTCCTGGAAATCAGTTACCATAGACAACTAGGAACAACCAGTAAGAAGCTAAGAACAAAAAATGACCATAGGATCCGATCTAAACATTGGAGAGAGTAGTAATGAAAAGCTGTCTATCTGTTGTGCAGTATGTTTCACTGGTAACCTGTCAATTGGTTTCGGGTGGTTTAACTAATTAATGACCAATTTCCACGCGTTTGGCCTGTGTTTAGTCCTTTTCTTACGTCATTTGACAAATGCATTATGTCTCTCACAAAGATTCTTATTTAATGGGGTCCTGGCTATTACACAGCACTGAAAGATCTGCCTCACTTGATAAATGTTACAAGTAATCTATCCTTTGATTCATGATAAACTTAAGTTGTGCAAAAATCTTCAGTACCTTTTGATAATGTTCCTCAGGAAGAAGTGCAACTCTGTACTGAAGAAATGCTGCTACATCCTGGCACTACAACACAAAAGAGCACATAAAAATAAATCACAGTGGAGCTCAAACATGTGATACTGGCATCGTTCTGCAATATTTGCAAGTAATTATAGGGTTATGATTCATATACCATTTCAACAAGGATGTCTTGTGGTACAGAATTAAGTGCCTCCACTGCAGAGTTAAAACCTAGCGATCAACCAACAAAAAGAAAGAGGTTAAAATTCAATACGAGTTGAAAATACTCCTCAACAATCGAGAGAAAGACATGAAACAACCTTGAGGTAAATCCACGAACACTTGAGACATCTTCATTTCCTCTGGCCTCAGAGGCGCAGAATTCTTCCTTCATGTGAACAGCAGTTGCTTCTGCAGAGATATTTGGTTGTTTATGCGACATGAATTTTATCTGGAAGAGATGAACTTTAGCGATGAGTATTTTTTCGGAGGACTGGGTATTTGTCCAGCGGTTAACTCTAATAATTCAAAATGGCGGCTCAATCAGGACTAGGATGAACTTAGGAATCTTTTGGGAAAATCAAAATAAACTATGAAGCTGGTAAGGATATGGAGGTGTTTCTGATTCATTTTATTACAATTATTTTTTCTTCTTAATTTTGGAGTTGTTTCATTTTCTTTTACAGTATTCCCTAGGAAGAACCAGCTCGGCGCCATGTCTCGTACTGCAGTTCAAAGGAGCAAGTATAATGTTGGACTGTTCTTTAGATGTGTCAACTCTGCAGCACTTTATGCCTCTTTCATTAGTGAACAAGTGAGTTTATCGATTTTGAGGTACTTACAATTACAACCACAATTTCAATTAAGAATTCATGGTTTTCAGTAAACCTGAAGGTGTGCGAGTAACATTTTTTCCTCGTAATATTTATGTAAATAGTGAAAGAACAAGTCAGCTAAAACCATGGACAACCAGGGAACTCCAGGATATTGAGGGATTTTCTGCCCAGAATGTAAGTTGTTTATGATATGACTTCATTCCCAGAGATGGAGATCTAAAATCTGGAGATTTTTTTTCAGACCAGCACCCCCCGACCGAATTCGTCAATGCGGCCCCTCCCGAAAATGTCTCTTTTGATTTAGACCCCCTACTCCCCCCCTCCAGGTAATTTTGCAGGAAAAATGTGGATCTATCTGTCAATGACTTCAATTTGTTGAATACTCATCTAATCAGACTCTCCCCTATATAGGAGTAACAAACAAGAAACTTTCTTCTTTTTGTTTGGAATGAACAACATGCATCACACAAGAAAATGAAGCCAGAAACGAAATACAAGCATAAGAAGCCGGATGATTTTGAAATTTTGGAACATATGGAGCTTAGTTTTTTGTGGGCAACTGATCCAAACTTCCTTTTATCCAGGAATTTTGGTCATCTGTACAGGAGGGCCAGAGATTGACTCTGTATCCAGGAGACTTTGGAATAATCTGCGAGAGTTGGCATATATGATCCCATATTTTCCATAATTCCTTATATCATTCCATACTGTCTGTTATGCTGTTGTTTAGCCCTTTGGCCTGAAAGAGGGATAAGCATTCGATTTTATCATACAATATCACCCCTGAATCACACATTAAGGTTATGTGAATAAGGGAAATGATCACCAAATAAAGAAGCTCTCAATTGTTAAACAAGTTCTCCATGTAAGCAACTTAGAAAAAGTATCGAGAAAATGCATACTGATGGTAGAATGTTAAGGAATTAACATGTCTATGTACCTGACACTGCTCAATTCCATACTCCTCAGAACTTAAAGGAAATTGGTGGGAAAGTATTCATAGATGAGGAACCAGAAATTTGCCCTCCAGAGGTAATTTAGATGATATTGAAATGCAACACTATGCTTTTTAAACTCTCATGAAGTGCTCAGTAAGTATGGTAAAAATATAACATTCTTGAATTGGAGAAAGAAAATCTCTTATTTTAAACTCCTGTAACCTCTAATAGTGATTGGCATCTAACATTTTTTTACAGTGTCCTTGCTGAATCAAACATTAAGGTTATGAGATTAGAGGAAATTATGGCTTACTAGAGAAACTTGTGATAGGTGAATTAATTCTCCATGTCAGCATCATATGAAATGTGTATAAAACAGTGTGGAGAATATGGATACCCATGTTAGGGTGCAAAGGGTTCATTGAAGGAGTTAACCCAAAGAAGAAGAGGAAGCAATTTGTTGTCAAAGCAAGTAATGCACCTTTTGAAAAACAGAAGGAAAGATCACCATGGAGATATCTCAAGCTTGACAGTCTTTGTTAACTTTAATTTTTGTTTGGCTTAATTAGGATATTAACTTTTGTTGGTGATTATTTACTTTAATTTGACAGGATTGTCTGCTGGATATTTCCACCATTGACATCATTCTTATATCTAATTACCATTTCATGTTGGCATTACCTTTCATAACAGAGGTAAGTTGTAATTGATAACGTCGCGGGTCAGTCCATGGATAATTTGGATCATTCATAATAAACATTTCAGCAAATTATTAATGTGTAAGTGAAAGGTGATGTTATTTAGTGAACAAAACAGGCATACTTGGAGAAAAGGAACTTTAAGGAGTGTTCCAAATAGGAGTCTAACATACAACCTTCTGATTAGTACCTTGGATACTTCACCACTAAACTGTACGAGTCCGGTGGCAGGCTGGCTGTTTAATAAGGCTCTTGATGATGAACTTCTCAATATATACTTCTAGGAAAGGGAGGTTGATATGATGTCAATATGTAATGCTTCTGCGCAGTGACAATGTGAATGGCGATGCATGGTAGATGTTTTTGTTGTGACTTTTCTTTCACTTTTCCTTAGCATTCAGGATTCAAAGGAAAAATCTATGCCACTGAACCAACAGTTCAGATTGGAAGGTAAGAATTGTGCTGATCTGTGTGGTGTACAAAGAGGGTAAGTTTCTAAAGAAACTGTGGTGTTGCATTGGTGGGAAAGTATAACAGGGTAATTAAGTACTATAAATCGCTCTGTTGAAAGGCTAATGCTTGAAGCATCAGCTTTTTAACTCTTTGCAGTGGCCAATTTACATTATCAGCTCAGTTGACAATACTTAATTACCCTGTGTGATGTACAGACAGGTTATTTATTAAGTGTCCTTTAAAAGTCGGAGACCTTGTTTCTTGCTTATGTCCTCAATTGTGAGAATCTAAGTTAAAATGTGTAAGCATGTTATTTTATTGAGGAATTTTATCTGCAGAGAACTAATGTTAGAGATGGTGGTGTATGCAGAGCGAGTTCCAAAAGTGAGCAAAGGAAACATGTGGAAGGACAATGAAGTTTTAAGGTTTGTTTCATTATTTTTATGTTCCCAGGTTCTCAAAACAACGCAATGAGGCAACACAACACAATGACTTAGTCAGGTCTTAAAATGGACCTTTTGAGCGGGATTTTCAGCATGTTTCTGTTAGGCTACCACATCTCCTTTAAGATCCCGTAATGGTCTACCAAAGTAAGTGAAGACTGAGTTAACAAGGTCACAATACTTTTGGGGCTGGCACTTAAGCAGTTCCTTTAATTTTTTTTTTTTTTTCATTTGATATTTTGTTGTTGCAGATGTCTTCCGCCTCCTCTGTGTGACTTAAAGGGGACAAAGTCATGGAAAGTACTTTACAGGTGAATCTTGAAATTACAACAACTGAAGTTATTCAAAGGTGATTTATAAATGATATTCTACATGTAGTTGACAGCTTCTGTTTTAGTGTATTGTATTCTAACTTGATAAAAAACATTTAAAAATTGATCAATCCTTTCAGGTAAGATTTACATGTAGATCATATAAGCCCCAAAAGCATTGAGAGCCACCAAATTCTTGGTATATCCTCAATCGAGGCTTGCAAAAAGATGAAATTTAGTTTGTTGCATGGACGAGTTTTTGAACCAAATATGAAATTCTGAGAATGTGCCTCAGAAACACCCATTTCAGAACAGTTTGTGATCCAGGCTCATGAAAAATCCTAAGGAATGCAGGGAGGCCTATATGTATGAATTTGAAACAAAATCGCTGCTCAAAATCATCTTTATAACTTTTGTCATTTGAAATAACTGTTTTCTCCTGCAAAATGATTTCTTTCCTTTGGCACATTCCTTATGACAGCAAAAAAGATGTAAAGGCTTCAGTATCAAAGATTCAGAATGTTGGATATTCAGAGAGAATTGTAAGTATTGTCAGAAAAGGCTGAAATGTATTATATTCCACAATTTTAACTCCTTGTTACTTCCATCCAAAGAGAGCAGGATTAGATTGCTAATACCAAAATGTTGTGCTTACAATTTCTCTTGTTTTGGTTTCAATCTTAAACCAGTTTGAATTTCACTTTTCATTGTTTCCGTTGATGACTATGAATTCCTAACAAATGAATGTCTAATCAAACTGATTTGAATAGTTTTAAACCAAGGAAAAATTTTGTTTGACTGCTTTCAAATCTCAACTCTTTTCAATGTAGGATCTGTTTGGTATTCTAAAGCTCACTCCCCTCAGTTCTGGATATTGTTTGGGAAGCTGTAACTGGGTCATAGAATCTGACTATGAAAAGGTATGTTAAATGAAGTTAGTTTTGATTTGTTATTGTAACACAATATTGGGAAGCTTAGTAGTACTAATACTTTTTTTATAACTTGAATTGAAGCACTGGTGTACAAAACCAACTTACATTTACAGTGTGTATCAAATTTAAGCTGGTGTTTTTAGTTTATTATAGTTTATAATGTTTGTACCTTTTTCATTCTTTTGGCTGGTTTTCCCTTTTATTAAGGAAGTAATGTTATTGTACAGAAAAAAAAATTGAAAAACAAAACAAAACAAACTATTTTAATGACATTATGTATATGTTTAACTCATTTTCCCTCCTATAACACATGTGCAGTACTATATGAAAAACACTTTTAACAAACACAAGATATTTGTTTGTAACAGGTCAGTTATATTTCTTGTTCATCGACATTCACCACTCATCCTCTTCCAATGGACCAGTCCATGCTGAAGAACAGTGATGCCTTAATTATGACTGGTATCACACAAGCTCCCACTGCAAACCCTGATGCCATGCTGGGGGAATTCTGCACTCACCTAGGTAAGTACAACAAATACAACAACATGGGAATGTACAGTTAAGGTGTTCAAAGTCAAATATCTTATGCAATCTAGGCTGTATTACCCTTGGACCCCTAAGAGTGACCAACATTTAATTTCTCCCTACAATTTCTCCTCTGAATCACACATTAAGGTCATGAGAATAAAGTTAATGATCACCAACTTAAGAAGCTCTTGATTGTTTGACAAATTCTCCTTGTCAGCACCTTAGGAAGTGTATAGAGAACAGTATGGAGAATATGCATACTGGTGTTAGGGTGTAAAGGGTTAAGAGAAGCATGGTGTAGTGATACGATTTATAATTGTTTGTTTTCTTCTTATTCTACAGCTACCACTTTACGAAATGGAGGAAATGTTCTTGTGCCTTGCTGCCCCTCTGTAAGTTGTTTGATAAGGCTAGTACATTGTTTGACATATTGACCAACATTCATTAATTACACCTGCAGAATATCAAAATAGTGTTAAGCTCAATGAGCACAGGCAAGAATGCGAAATGATATAGAAATGTACAAAAATGGTTGCGGAGAAATAATTGTTTCCTTGAACTAGTTTGTAAAGTATTTGAAATCAGAGAATGGATAAAAAGGCAACACTTTAATTGTCTTCCTTACCCAGCCTCTTTATCTTCCATTCCAAACTTCCTCCTCCATCAGAGGTTTAAATAAAAGCAAACTTTCACTTATAAGATCCTTCACCGCCTTAGCTTGTTTAGCTTGTTTAGCTTGTTTAGCTTGTCAGCAAAGTCTCATGTTTGAGTTTCACCTTATGGCATAGCCACCTATTGCAGCAGCAACTGCAGCTTATGGGAAAATTTATTGAAACACCACTTTCCATGTCCTCATGGCACATTCTCTACCTTCCTTTCAATTACCTCATGCCAACTAATTCTTTTTTTTTTAAATCACAGGGTGTTCTGTATGATCTTTTTGAGTGTTTGTACTCATATATGGATGGTGCCAATCTTTCAGCCATCCCTATCTACTTCATCTCTCCCGTTGCAGATAGTTCTTTAGCTTACTCTAATATTTTTGCAGAGTGGTAAGTGAAAAGAATTGACTCAACTTTGCATTCGTTTTCTCCCTTTGGAAAAATTAGTTGTATTGTTTCCCTGAGGTGATCAGCATTGAAAGAGGCCCCAAGAAAGGAAGGAGCTTTAAAATATTGTTGACAGTGATAAGATACAACCAAACAAGCATTTCTTATTGTATGAATCCTTTTATCCCTTCGAGTGACCGGCATCTAAATTGATCTGTACAGAAATAGTGCAAAATCATTCATTGAGATCACGAGAATTAAGGAAATGATCTCCAACATGAAGAACCTTGTTAAACAAATTCTCCTTGTCAGTACCAAAGGAAATGTATAGAGAAGACATGGGAGAATATGGATACTGATGTTAAGGTGTAAAAATTAAGGGGGGGTTTTGTAAAGAAATTGTGTTGCTGCATCGGTGAAAGGTATTACAAAATAATTTGGTTTTATCAATTGAGTTGTTAATTTGAATCGGCCTACGGGGAGAGGTCTTAAGTAGACATATAAAGCATCACCCCTTCGTCAGAGAGAAAATGAAGTCCTCCTATTGTATTCTTGTATCTCTGTGGAAGGCATTGACCAATTTGTTCTCTTTTTTAAGGCTTTGTCAGAGTAAGCAAAGCAAAGTTTATCTACCAGAGCCACCATTTCCACATGCTGAGGTACATTTACAGAGCCTTGCTCTTGTTTTACAAATTTTAACCCTTCAGATCTACCAGCTATCTACGAAAGACTTCCCTTTTGGATCGTCTTGAGGGTTTGGTGTCACGCCATCCTCGGAGATCCAGGGGCTGTGAGTCGATTTCAAGTCGGGCTCTCCCGCCCTGAATTGAAATCGACTAACAATTCCTGGGTCTCCGAGGATGGTGTGACACCCTAACCACATCACCTTGTTGGTTGAGCGCTTTTCGAGCGTCGGAAAAACAAAACTTACGATATAACAGCAGCCAATAGCCAATCAGGTGTACGAAAAATATCACGAGGAGCCAGTGAGAATCCAGAGTAAAGAAACGCAAAAAGCTTTAAGCGCGGGAAAACGTAAGAGATTGGTTTTAGTTCTGGGTTTGATTGGTTGAAAAAGTGGCGCGAATCTTTTTGGACCAGTCAAAATGGAAGTAAAACAAAACCGAAGTATTTGCGGATTACCTTCGATATCCAGTTGAAAACGTATTTGTGTCAATTGAACAAATAAATTCCGATTTTCTATGCGTCCGTCCGGAAAAGATAACAGATGACGTAAAAAATGGGGAAGAACGAAAGTCGAAAAAGTGGCACTCGAGGCACAGCCAAGTGTGGCACTGATATTCTTACCATCTTTTAAGCCATTTTCTATTTTTTTTTAACAGCTTGTGAAAGCAAACCGTCTGAAACACTTTCCCAGCATCCATGGTAAGATAGCGTACATCTTGACTTCTCCCGTTTTACAGTAAATTATCATCTTTGAGTGAAGTGCTATAAACTGAGTATTGTTGCCGATAATGACCTCGAACTCGATTTTAAACCAGTGAGCAGCCGATACAACTGCAACTGTTTTAATCAATCCTTGAAAGTTTTAGAGTTCTTCCTTCCTCACCAGAGCCTAGTTACATGGGTATAATAATTACATTGCATTCGGCTGCCCCACCCGAATGTTGTAGAATTTTGCAAAGTCACGTATTAGTTTTTGGTGTTGCTTTTGGGTTTTTCGCTTCTATGCATCATTCCTCTACGATGTGAAATTGTCTTTCTAAGCCATTAGAAAGGAGACTCCTTACGTTTAAAATCTTATATTCCCCACCGCCCGTGGGTGACCCGGGGGGCGGGAGGGGGCGTGTCAAAGCTTCGAATTGATCGATGCATAAGCCATTCGTTGCACGTAAACGTGTCATTATATTGCGGTGACTAAGCCTGTGAACATCGCCAGTTTCATAAAGAGTGATTTTTGCAGATGGATTGAGCAGTTGTTTCAAGACGCCCTGTGTCGTATTTACTGGACATCCATCGTTAAGATATGGAGATGTAGTGCACTTCATGGAACTTTGGGGAAAATCAAATGGAAACACTGTTATATTCACTGGTAAGAAAAGTGTCCTTGATTATGACACTCCCTTTAGAAACCGCTTTGTTTAGAAAACCATATGCCGTTTTCTATATAATTTTGTTTCAGTTTGACGAGTCAAATTACATGTCTTCCTTTTAGAGCCAGAGTTTCCATACCTCGAGGCTCTTGCTCCATATCAACCTCTAGCAATGAAGGTAGGTGTGTTATCCCTTTAACCCCTAAGAGTGACTAACATCAAATTTCTCCTTACAACATCCTCCCTGAATCAAACATTAAGGTCATGAGAACAAAGGAGATGATCACCAACTAAAGAGGCTCTTGATTGTTGAACAAATTCTTCTTGTCCGAACCCTTGGAAATGTCTAGGGAGTATTATGGAGAATATGCATACTGATGTGAGGGGGTAAAGGGTTAATCGTGTTAAATGTAATTAAACAAATAAATTAACGAATCAATTGAGAGGACGGGCGAAAAAATCTTCGGAAGGGAGAGGAGGTAAGGTCGACCTTCTTGCTTGTGCTTCGAGCGCCCTCGTCCACTCTTTCAGGAGCTAGGGAATTGTTCTATGTACCTCGATAACTTCAGACTAAAAGCTGCAAACAAAAGTAATTAAGTTGTATTTTTCCGCACAAACACACATTCAATTTCAATTTGGGTTATTGTTCATCTGTTTCTTTTTTTAGGCTTGTTACTGTCCGATTGATCCAAGACTTAATTTTACACAAGCTAACAAACTTATTCGTGAACTTCAGGTCAGTACTTATACATCGATGACAGTTACAGAGAGGTTTGAGTGGAACAGTGAAACTTTTTCCTTCGCGGAAGATTGCTCTCTTGTACTCTACGTCACGTAGCTTAAGCGGCGAATTGAAAATTTCTCCGGTTACTTGCATCCTCCACAAATCCCACCTCTCGCTAAAACGGTTATGTTTTTGTTACCTTTTCGGGTTATTTCCTTCCTCCATTTTTCTGAACTCCTCATTTCCTAAACCTCGTTTTTATTAGCTCCCTTACAGCTTTTTAAAGGTTGTAATGGGGTCAATTGTGATAATTATCTCTTTACTTTTACTCTTCAGTCCTAACTATTTTAAATTTTCGAATGTGATCTTTAGAGAAAGATACGGTATCATTATTACTTTTTGTTCGTTTTTATTTCAGCCAGGTCAGCTTGCTATACCGGACACATACACCAGAGCACCGGATTTATTGCCGCACAGAACAGACTTAACCATTCAAGATACGGTAAACGATTTTGCTCTAACAGATGTTCATCGCGGGCAATGATCAGGAGACTTCCTTGCCCGAGCAATCACTTGTGAACAAGAGAGGAGCGATTTTCTTGACTGAACCACCCAAAAGGCCTTACTCCTAAGCTAACTACTTTTAACTTGCTTAGCAAGCGGTTTTCGACGCAGGTTGAAAATCGATCTATGAAAATGTTGGACAGTTTCCTTCCCAGATCATCGCAGCCTACGATTCATAGCGCGAATAAAACTGCCAGCAACGCAAGCTAAGCTGCTCTCAAGTTTTTTTTAGACTTCAGGTGTCTGGCGTTGCGGCAATAATGTTATATGAACCTCGCGTGTTGCATGTGTCACTGGAGAACGATTGGAATGGCCTTGAGAGCAAATTTGATTTACGATTTTTTATTTTGCCTTTTTTAGGAGTGCAAGATCTCGACGTTTAGCCATTTGGATGTTCTATCGCTGTCGGTGAAAAGAGAGTTTGAGAAAGTTGTCTTATCGAACGAGGTTAGTTTGCGTCTTTAAGGTAGAGACAATCTACGCAAAGAATGCTTCGCCGGCGTTTGATGTCAAGTGCTGCTTTTCATAGTTAAGAATTTACGAAGCTTTCGCGAGGCCAGAGAATAGGTGTGCAAAGTAAGGTTGGCCTTCGAAGCGCAGTCTTTTTGCGCTCACCCGAAGCCAAGTGGGGTTCGCTTGTACTGATCGCATTAAACACTCGATGAAACAACAAAATGCCGCCATCCTTACTTAATATCTAACTTGAATGGTCACCAGAGCCTAGACCAGTGTCCGATTTTGGACACTAGTGTCTGATTTTAGCATTATTTCCACTTGTGTCTGTGTTTAGACACGAGTGTCCGATTTTGGACATAAGTGTCCGAGTTTTGACTATAGTGTCCGATTTTACACCGAAGTGCCCAATTTTAGACACAATCGGCTGATTTTGGATATTAGTGTCCGGTTAAGACACTAGTGTCTGCTCTAAGACATTAGTGTCCTATTTTAGACACAAGTGTCTGATTTCGGATTCTAGTTTCTGATTGTAGACAGTAGGGCCTGATTTTAGACAGTGGGGCCTGATTTTAGACAGTAGGGCCTGATTTTAGACAGTAGGGTCTGATTTTAGACAGTATGACCTGATTTTAGACAGTAGGGCCTGATTTTAGATACTAGTCTTCGATCGTAAGTAAATAGTAACTGTTGTAACATAAATCGACCAGAAGTGTTGCAACTTTCCTACGATAGGATTGCCAGCTCATTGCTTTTTTTCTTCCACGCCCTCTTAAACACACACACACACACCAGTGGACTGTTAGGTTTCCTTGGCTCTCAGTTGGCTGATTTCTCGGTGAAGAGAGGCGTCTTTAAAGCTATGTTTATTCATGATATTTATCAAACAAGTCGGTCAAAACATGTGGATACATTCTGATTTGCTTTCCTTTTTCAGTTGGCCAGCGGGCTCCACCCTCAGGAAGTGAGACCTGGTATCGCAGTAACCACTGTTACGGGAACCTTGGTATCGAAAGACAACAGATACACTCTTGAACCGTTAGATCTGACGGGCGACGGATTTAACAAGACAAAGTAAGTCGCTTAAACCTCTACACCCTGACATCAGTATTCAAATTCTCCTTACTGTTCTTCATACATTTCTTGAGAAGCCGACAAGGAGAATTTGTTTAACAATCAAGAGCCTCTGTAGCTGGTGATCATTTCCTTTATTCTCAGGATATAATGTGTGACACGGAGGTGATATTGTAAGGAGAAATTAGATGCTGGTCACTTCTAGAGGTCAAAGGGTTAATTTTATAGTTAGGACCAATTTTAAGTGTCTTTAAAAATAGAGTGTATGTTGCTCTGACGAATATTTCTCTCACAATACTTTTTTTTTCTGGAATTTAAGTCTTTTTTGTCTTAATGTGAAATTCTTTTTTCTTCATACAGGGATTCAAAGGCGGAATCTAAAACAGGCCAGAAGTCCTGTCATTTATGGGGGAGCGTACTCGTGGAAGATCTCGTAAAGTCTTTAGCGAAGGTGAAGTGTCATTACAAGGCTGCCTCGCATAGCTGCCGAAACTCATCAATACGGAGAAATGTTTTTATTAGAGATGTTTTATTACTACTTTCTCAGCGCCCAAATCTTGCTCACTTTTTGCCGTTTTTGTCTTCTCAGCGTGGTATTGAGGACGTTAACGTGGATTCTGATCACGGGGGACACACTCTCCACTTGGTGAGTGAAAGCTAACTCAATAAAGGACATTTCCAGTGTTTAAGTTGGCGTTCTTGGTACTATTAAGATTATATGTAATGAGCGCTCGCATATTAGGCAATGAATCGAGTATATTAGTTGGGCGCATGTGGATATGGAATTTCTCTTCGAGTGTTCAATTTGATACTTCAGGAGTGAGCGCAGCGTGCGGTTGAGATATTGAGTTGAAGACGAGAAGAAAAAATTCTTTATCTACATGCAACCATGTACTAGACTCTATTTATGAGTATGCATTGATTTAAACACCACAGGCCTTTACTTGCAAGAAAAGTCCCAGGGTGAGTGATGTGTCAGTAGCTGGTTGGTGAAATCAACACACGTAAAAAAAACATTATCGTTATTTAACACGTGTGCGGTTACTGCTTCACTCAGGGCTGGAAATCTTGAAAAAACACCGAAGTATTTAACTTAAAGCTTTTCTGTGTTCTACGCTTAAGCCACACACCAACCCCTCCATTCAAAAGTTGAAAAACAATCATGAGCACACGATTTGCTCATAATTAATATCGATGTCAAACCTTTCATCCCCAGTTGCTTCGCCTACAATGGGTGAGAAATTTATAAAGTATTTAAGTATTTCAGTTTACCTTTTTGGACGTCCCTACATGTAACTATTGAGTTAAGGCCGGCTTTTTTACTTTTGTTTGTAGACCCAGCATGATGCTATGATTCAACTGGACCGTAGTGGGACGCATATTATCACGCACGGAAACGAGGCTCTTAGAATCGACATCCGGGATTCGCTTC